ACTAGAGGTCGTGTGAGAATGTTTTTAGCTACACACCACTTAATCAACAGACACACACACGCACATTGATTTGCTTCATGTTTTGACTACTGCTATGGCCAGCTGCAAAGCTGGCAACAGAGACGTCTCGGTTGACGTTTCTGGGTAGTATGGGGCTAGCCCAACCGAAGGGATATAATGTATAGGCCTGGTGGGTTCAGGGTCTTTCATCTTACATCTGCCTGCGAGCAGTTTGGAGGTGCAAGATACCTGAGCGTGTAATGTTAATTTTACCTGTGATCCTTTGAATAAATCAGCACTGTTTTGAAGTTATTTGGACTGTCTCGTCTCTCAGAGTTAGCAATGGTAAGAAGAACCAAAAAGTCCTGCAGCAACCTCACATTCTTCTGTGATTAACAACAAAATCCTAATAAAGACAGTATGGAGGTGAGAAGACATGTGAGCTGCCGTCTTTCTTTAGGTGGATTTTTTTTGGCCTATTTGGGGGAAATCACCCTCAGTCAAGTCAAATCCCGATTTTATTCCCTCATGTCACTGTGGCCATTAAAAAGTAAACGTCAGCTACTACACCTTCATTGTATTTTGTTACATTAAGGGATCTTCATTTTTCCACATTCTTTTTTTCTTGTAGCTTTTTATGTAGGTCTGAATACAGAAAAAAAAACTCAGTCGCTGTAGTTTTATGAATTTGTAAGGGGGTTGATGGTCAAAAGCCAGAAGTTGAATATACATCTTACAGTTAACATCTTTTAGGAGAGTCAAGCCCTTTTGAGAAGAACTGAGCACTCACACTATTTGAGGGCAGCTTCAGCTTTTACTAAATCCCTGTTTAACCCCCATATAGAGATCCAAAGGGGATGACTGGCAAATACCAGGGGTTAAGGAGATCATTCAGACAGATGAAGATGATGCATTGCTTCCTTTCTCTTTGCCTTTTGTCTCCTTCTCTCACATACATACCCACACACACACCATCCTCTTTCTCCCTGTACTTTATCTACTCCATGCAACCTTGTACACCCACTTCTCTCTCTCTCTGGCTGCTGTCCAACTTCTCTGTCGTCGCCTTTCATCTCTTTGGCTAAGACAGGAACAGGCAGTTTAAGGAGAGAAAGACTATTAGGGGAGCCATTCTTTCTGCCTCTTTGTGACGGGAGGGTTATTGTTAGCGCGGCAGAGCCCTCCCTCTGCTGAGTTTGGTCATTAGAGAGGCAGCAGAGCAGTGGGGGGAAGTAAGCCTGAGGTAGTGTTTACATTACAAGAATACTGATATTGTGAGACTCTTGTGTATAAATACACTCCCATATTTGACAGTGAATTTCAGTTAAAGCATTTATTTTAAAATCCATTACAAAACGAGATAAATTAATTAAAGTATACAAAACAGTAGAAAGAGCACATCAACTAACATTCAGCTGAACAACACATTAATAAGGACAGTGAAGAAAATAAAGTCAGAAACCAAAAAAAAACATTATGGTTATCGAGATAATTTGATAATAACTAGCTGTAAAGGGCTTAATCACACTGAATTAGCGCTGAATCTGTTATTTAAAAACATTAATGTAGCCACCAGCAGCAAATTTTGATTTGGGTCACAGTTAAAGGGTAGAAAACCTGAAGGTAATGAAATACTTAGGGCTTACAGGAAAATCACGATATTTTAAAACCAAAAGCTGTAATCCAACAAACATTCTTTTAACTTTGGAAATATATTAATAAAACACCATTAGTGGAGGTAATAAAACAAACCTTATAATACTCTTTGTAAAGGTCACACTAGAGTCACTCTATTTCTAGAGTCATCACAATCTTCATGAAGGACTCATTGGTATACAGCCAATAAAAAGAGCATTTTAACTTTCATTTTAAATGGCATTTATATAAAGCTGTAACTACACCTCCCTATTGTTGGTATGGCAAAATGGGCTTTGTGTACAGCAGCAAATGTCTTTCAGTGATATCTCCTTTTGTCTATGACCACAAACACATCTTGGAGGGTGGCTGTGGCTCATGAGGTAGGGCAGTCGTCTCCTGACCAGCAAGTTGGTGGTTTGACTCCCGGTCTCCCCGCATGCCTAAGTGTCCCTGAGCAAGACACTGAACCCCGAATTGCTCCCGGTGGCTTGACTAGCGCCGGTGCATGGCAGCCTGTCGTCATCGGTGTGTGAATGGGTGAATGGTGTATGAGCTTCTGTAAAAGTGCTTTGGCCAGTGCAACACACTGTGAGAAAGCGCTATATAAAAGACAGTCCATTTACCATTTGGCGATGGTCTAGCAGATTGAGGTAGCATACAGTTCACTCGCTGAAACTGTTAGGTAAACCACAGCAGATAGGTGGTTATTTCTGCATGATATAAGAGAGTTGTCAAGGAACTACAAATGCATCAGAAAACCTTTGTATTTAGCAATCTCTAATGTGGTGGGAATCAACAAGGCTTAAAACAAGAGGCTTATACCACAAATGTGATTTGCCATGCTTTATAAAAGACTGTCACCTGCAAAGTGGATATACATTGGGGAATATTAACGGGCTCATTTTGGCGTGGTGTTTGTTTTAATTATTTGAAATGTGTCCAAATTGACATGAGAGGAGTGAAGCCGTGCTGCAACTAGCAGCTTGCATGTTGCAAATGTACTGAAAGGGGGCCAAAGCTGTTTTCTATTTCAGTCATGTAATTTCAGAAAGAAAATACAGATCTTTGCTGAACTTACATGTTATATAGCAGAACTGTTTTAGGTGTCTCTCTTTTCTCTCGTTGCATCTTGATAACTGCTTCAGACACATCTGCGATTTGTGATGTAACTGCATGGTAACGTGATGTAAAGTTTGTCTGAAAATGGAAAAATGACCCATCAAATTTCTGAAGTACAATTCAAAGAGTGTGCTAAATATTAAATATTGATGCCACACACAGTTATCGGGGTGTTACTGTTTGAATGAAAACGGTATCACTTAACGCCCTTGTGCTACCTCATTCTACAGTGAACAGCTCTTACATCACCCTTGAATCATTCATTCTGAAACTAAAAAGAATTGAGGTAAACACAAACTCTGTGGAATGTAAAAAGGCTCTTTGGTTTCCACAGTGAATGATCAAAAGATGAAGGAGCTCAAAGTGAAGTAGAGCCCTATACCTACAACTACACTATCACCCCACACATGCACTTTTACCTTTTATCTGGCTTTATGATTCCTTATGTACATACATACATACATACATACATATACATGTATATGTAGAGCGGGCTGTCCCCTAACCGTAGGGTTGGCAGTTCAATCTCTGGCTCCTCTAGTCCATGTGCTAAAGTGTCCTTGGGTAAGACACTGAACCCCAAGCTGCTCGTGGTCCTCATCGCCATCGCTGTGTGGATGTGTAAAGTGTTGTGTGTGCGTGAATGGTCAAAACGGTGCAATGTGTTTTGTGTACGCTTCCGTGTGTAGAAACGTGCTATAAATCTGTTTACCAATACCACTGATCTTCTTCTTGAAGGCAGTACTTAAAGATGAGCTGACGACTCAAATAAACACTGTGATCAATAAAAAATTACATGAGGTAAAAGCTGCTAATTTTCTCCAGACCCGTTTTCCTGTTATAATAGAATATAACAATTGCATTCAAATGTCACATAGTTTATGTCAATCCAGTGATTTAAATTCTTAAAAATAAAAGGAGTCATAGAAAGCTGAACACCAAAGCCAACAACAGTCACAGCTCCTCAGCCCCAGCATTTCACTTTAGTGGAGCACCTGGGTGGCATACTGTCAGCAAGATCTGTGTTCCAGTTGGGTGACCCAGCCTTCCTGGTATCAAAACATGATGACAGTGAAGGCAAGTCTCACACCAGCCAATGGAGTCATCAATAATTTGACAAGGTGAGTGGGTAGGGTTATCTGGGTACAGCACATGCACTTCCCAGTAGGCTGCGTGTGGGCACAGGGCTGCAGAGAGGCGAGATATGGCGTGACGCTCCTGGAATCTGTGATTTGACATCTGCTCTGTGTGAGAGTCTGTCAGAGGGCAGCAGAAGGTTTCTGAGGGCACTGCCATTTCCTCTTAAGTCCGAGTCTCTGGGTTTTATCAAAGAGATCTGACTTGCAGGGCACAGACAGTGGGTGAGCAGCATGGCACTCAGTGGAGGCGGTCAGCTCTGAATGGACGCTGAATAGACGCTATTCAACCAGCAAAGTCAGTCCTCCTCCTCCACATAGGTAGAAGGAAACCAACCCACCTGAGAAGCAGCAAAACATAATACAATTCAGGGAGAAGTACTGAAGCACAAAGGTATTAGACTGGGAATATACGATGTGCATTCTTTCCATAATTCTCATAATTTTGAATGCTAAACTGTCCTTGCACTGCACTTCTCACTGCCAGCTCTTACTCTTGGCCCAGTCTGCACATGGTGCTAACAGTGAGGAGCTTCACTGAGGTTGCATAATGTACACAAAGAGTTTCACAGTGCCCCTATCCACCCTGCCAAGATCAATCCACCCTCAGTGTAGGTGCCACAGCCAATCACTGACAAGATCCCTGACAATTCTTTCACTCCTGCACCACCCAGGTACCCAATTATCAGACAAAAAAAATACACTGCTTAGGTCATTACATGCACTGAAACTGTACTGCTCGGACAATTAAACCCCCAAAGGGGCTTATTTTTAAAAATGATGTTGTTTACACCCTCTAAGCTGTGAGAGCACAGAAATGGATTAATTATTCTAATTAATTCACAGCACAACATTGTGCTACAATACAATTAGCATTTTGGAATTTTATTGCATGATATCCAAGAGGAAACGGTCCAATCAGTTGGATGTGTAATCACACTGTGTGGATATGAAGGATAGCTGTGCAAAGAAACTGTACAATAGCTACCTCGATATGTGATTAGAGCACAGCTGACTCAAAAACATCAACATAAAGATGAAATAAAAACACCTACCCTGCCGTCGAGTTCTCCCTTCCACCACCCATTGGACATCTTGGTGTAGATCTTGATAATGTCTCCCTGCAGCAGTGAAAGCTCTCGTGTGTCTCTGGAGCAGAAGTCGTAGCGTGCCACTGCAATACCCACCAACCTGGGAGAAAGCACTGAGACAGAGAGCTCTTCTATTGGGGGCCATCTACACAAAATTTCACAGGTATTCTTAGAGTTTAAGTGTAATTTTGTAAAGTTTTTCAAGCAACTGTAGGACTAACTAAGAAAAAGAAATAAAGACGGTGCGGTTATAAAGCTCTTTGCTGTCATTAGTCCAGCAAGAAATATTACACTCACAAAATCACACAATCGCCCTCCCTACAACAATTTAATCTAAATATCATCTCTGAGTGTGGTTTACAGCTGTTCCCTCCACGTTGGGTAATCTAGAGTTTTTGAAAACTTTTAAAACTCACCAACTATGAAGTGAAAAAAGCTCAATTTCCTTTGTGACCGATCTACGTGTGGCTGCAGAACACCTCACCTGCATCACCCTCTAAAAGCCACTTTCTCCTCTACATTTGGAAATCCTAGGCTTTTTAAAAAGTTCCTCTCTTAACTCTTAGGTTTATCACCTTGAGAGCACTTGTAAGGGCAAGAATGTTTGGTGACTAACTTCTGACTTTCTACCGAACTGCACTTATTTTTAAATTCTAATGTTGACAAGAAAAATCAATGCAGGTGTTTTGTTTTGTTTTTTGGTCATACTCCTGTTTCAAGGAGTTTTGTACTCATACAATTTTCTTAGACATTCACCTTTTACATCCAACTCTAACTACTAACAAGCTTTTTGGGACCTCAAGGGCAATCGGAGGCAAGCTCAGCTCAACTAAATGTTTGTTTCTGTGGAGCGACTAGAGATGTAGTGTCAATAAACTACAGAATTATTTTTATCTAATTTTCTACAGTGGATTATTGTTAGATTTCTGTAGCTTTTAGTTATTGCTTGTACAAGGTTTTTACTATGCAATGAAACACATTTCTGAGAGGTACTATTCATAGTAAAGTGACTTGACTGTGTTGTTAGGATGATAAGGCAAAGCCTTGGTCCATGGTCCTGAGTCATACTAAATGTAAAAGCAAGACCACAGAAACAGAAATGAAAGAAAAATAGATATACAGTATATATGGCCCAGTGGTCAGTGCCAAGCACACAGCAGAGATGAGAGGTCATAAGTTATTGTGGTCATACGCTGATCTTGTTCATGTTCATCTCGGCTCATGCATTGCATGAGCACTTATCGGGTTATGCAAGATCGTTCCTACTCATGCAGGTCAGGGCTCATATCGCATGTGAACACAGCTGTGCACAGGGTTGTTTACTTTATCTGTGAAAATTTCTGATGACACAACTGTGAAGATAGAGAATATAGATATACAGTACACACAGACACAATCTATATATCTATAAATAGATGTAGATATAGATATGCTCTATGCACACAGAGTGTGCACAAAGAGAAAGACAAAGTAATCTTAACAAACTATTGTGCTGCACTCATGTCATGTCTGCAAAATGACAAAAATGGAAAAACTCGTTACTCTGACTTGGAAGCATTTACTCATCATTCCAGTTTGGTTGCCACTATTGCCAGTCTCGTAGTCACAATCTATAAATGGATACTTAGCCTAAATTACCTACTGTGCTCACATATTTGTTGCAGTTCATTAACAAGTGAAACCATACCAACAAAAGTGTATGTCCCTTTTAATTAGCTGAATTGACAGCATTATTATTGGCTTTAGTAAATGCCAGCAATGATGGCTTTGAAGCTCTTTGTTTGTTGCCCTTTCTGCAGTTCTTTTTGCCAAATGGGGACGATACCATAACTGTCAGAAATTAACAATATCTCCAATTTGGTATTACAGGAGGATGATTTAAAGCTCTACCCCAGGCCCCCACACATACAAACACTCATGGTCCATACAATATGACATAAAAGAGGCATCATTAAACTGCATTATTTAATAGAGACAGGAAAAACATAATAATTCATCTTTGGGAATGTAGAAATGTGGGCATACAACAAGAGAGAGACAAAGAGTAGAAAGGCTGTACCTGTACCTGACCAGAAAGGCGAGAAAGAGGGAGGAACAAAGCTGCAGCCGCCAGGAGAAACTACAGAGAAATGAAACAAGTGATAGAGGGTTCAGGCCGTAGTGGGAGCAAAGAAAGAACACAAGCAAAGTAAACACAAGTTTGACAGAAAGCAAGCATGAGGGGGGGAAGGAGAGGGGGAAGAAAAGTTGGTAAAGTCAAAAAGCAAACAGCAAGGACAGGTGGGAGAGAAGAGTGAGAAAACAGTGAAAGCATCAGATAAATTATCATTTCATCTGATACAAGCACATAGTTTTACTTAGCACTGGTCAAGAAAGTGGGTTAACTGAGTAGTAAATAACAAGATTGTGGAGATGAATGTTGAAAGTCTGTATTGTATTGTACTTCTGTGTACTTCTGGTCTGGGCTTTGTTTGTGGTTTGAGCTAGAACACTTCAAGTAAATGTTAACACGGTATATACGATGATATTTTAAACAAGTGTACTTCCAAATTTTTGGAAACTGGTTGGGGGAAGGCCCTGTCCTGTTTCACCAAGGCAATGTCCCCGTGCATAAAGCACATAGATGGCACTAGGGTAGGGCTGGATAGGGCTATAACACCATTATGAAAATAACCCCACCTATGGCAGAGAGACACCACATACTGCTCCATTTTCACTTAATCTGTCAGACAATCTGTAAAATCTTAGTTAATGCACCTTTAAATGAAGTGTTATGCAATTTCTTTGGTGGATTACAAGCATGATAAGAATGCATCTACTGTATGATGAATACTGGAAAGTAGTGAAAATGAGAAAGCGGAGGCTGAGATTGAATGAAAACATGGGGAGGGCACAGGGCTAGAGTAGCTACTCCAGTGCTGCTCACCCCTGGCAGTGCTGTTAGCAATGTTAAAACCCCACAGCCAGCCACAGTGCTTCACTTATGGCTGGCATGAGCAGGACTCCTGGCTGGAACACTCTGTCACTAAAGATGCAGCCTATTACAGCCATCACATTAAATGAGATGCATGCAAATCACTGCAGCCAGGTTCCAAAATGCAAGTCTTCCAAGCATAGCGATGTTGTTATAGAAGCATAACAATACCCACGGTTTTTATACAAGATGATCTCATATGGGTGTAAAATCGGTCCACACACTTTTGGCCACGTAACTTCTACAACTTTCTCCAGGTCATAACAAAGAGCAATAACAACCTCTTGAGCTGCCAAAGCAGCAGCATGGGGGTATGTATACATCTGGGCACAGCATGGCGCCCTAACAAGGCATCGGCTGGGCTTCCACAAGGCACACGGAGAAAACCACCCCCTGTCAACACAACAACGCAGTTCCATGTGCTCCCCCCATAGGGATAAGTAAATACAAACCAAAGTGTGTCTGTTTGTCAGACCAGAGAGCGCACAAATTATTATATGCATACAGTATCCGCAGACAATTGATACACAAAAACACATACTATATATGTAAATGTATGAACTTGCATGTACTGGACATACAATCAGAAATTAGCACTAGAATTTGATAATAAAAGTTGATGAAGTATAGTATTGTCAAACTGAATATGCAATGTCATATTTCTCATTGATCTCATTGTGACAGTCTTTCAATAGTGTCCACTTATAATCAAGAATTTAAAATAATACAATTGTGTATTGCAGTAACATTAATGTAAAAATAAATAATAAAAAATAATGTTAAAATAATCGACTTGACAGGTAATAAACTGTCTTTTAAATATTTCCCAGTCCTAACATTCACACAAACACATAGACAACACGCACTCAGTGAAACTTAATTAAAAATGCTGGCTGGGGTTTTTACAAACAAATAACTCCAGAGTTTTGATGGTTTTTCAGTAGTTGTGCATCTTGTCATTGTTTGCTCAGCCTTCTGTTTTCTTTGCTATGAGGTGTCTGTTGTGAGATTCAAACCAAACCATTTTGTGTGTGTGTGTGTGTGTGTGTGTGGTTTTTTTTTTTTGTTGTTGTTTTTTTTTTTTTTTGGCATGACATCTGTCTTTTCACGGAGGCTGTTTACCAGACAGAGAATACGGTGCCCACACTAAGTCTGTCTATGGGGGTGGACGACTTAAGGCAATAATAACCTATCCCAGAATGCACTGAGGCAACGGCAGGTCTGTCAAGGCTTTCTAACAGAAGGAAGCACAGTGAATGGCAGCAATGCACAAACACACCTCTTGCAGAGCTGCTTTGAAGCCTGATGCGCTGGGAGACCGAAGCTGCCAAAGAAGGCAGAGGGACAAGGATGTAGCAGAATTTTACATCCGAACAGACACAAAGGGCTAACTTTGACTTTGTTCCAGCGTGCGTCTGCTTGCCTAGGCTTCTGCAGCATCGGCTATGGTTGTTTACACATACACCTCTCTTTAAGTTAAGACAGTTTACCTCCAGCTGCTTCCTGCTCTTTTACATCAGATCATATTTGCCAACTTCTCCCAGTTATGAGGAAGCAGGTGCAGTCCCTCCGCTGGACCACAGGTATCCCCCAGGTGTGTGTCAGCAGGCGGCTGTCACACAGTTTTCTACACTGCCAGACCAAGTGAAATGTCATGTCCTGTCAGGAAAATTGTGAAGCCACCTTGGAGTTGAGCAGTGTGCAGAGTGTGACGTTTGGAGTAGCTGGCTCCTGGTGCTTGCCTGAGGCACCAGGCCCTAACTGGGACCTCTCAGCCAAGCCTGATGAGCTGCCGAGGCTTTTTTCTATTTCTTTCACTCACTGTCTCTCTCAGTCTCACTCTCTCTTTTGTCTTGTGCTCTCTCTTTATCTCTCTTACCCCATGCCTTCCTTCTGTACTCTGTGTCTCTCTTTTAGCCCACTTACACCTGATATTAGCATGCTATCTGTGTAGGGATATTTTAGCTGGATGTGGAAGCCCACTTACTAATGCAAGGTGAAAACACACATGCACTGTACCACAGTTTAAATGTGACCGGACTCATTGTGGAGTATAGAGGCGGTCTGGCTGGTATTAGATTACTTTTTTTAAAAATCCGCTCTTGCTCAGAGTTAGATAAGAAGATTAATACCACTTTTGTGTCTGTATGCTAAATGTACTGCTAGAGAAAGGCAGTTAGCTTAGCTTATAGCTCATAGAAACTGGACCAAGGGGGAAAACAGCAGGTCTGGCTAAGTCCAAAGGTAAAAAACGTCTGCCTAATGACGCCTCTAAAGCTCACTAATTAACATGAACATAGTTTATTTAATCTGTAAAAAAGCCGAAGTGTGAAAACAATTTTCTTTTATTGGAGGGTTTACTATATGCGCAGGACTGTTTTTTGGCAAGGACTGGAAACTTCCTGCAGACTGCAGGATTGGCCAAGAAACTGTTTGGAACACAACAAACCGTAAAACCCCAAAGTCATATTTTTATCCATTGGACCAGTGAGATATATATATATATATACATTAATTAGTGAGCTTTAGATTTACAGAACTGCTAACATACTAAATTATTCCTTAAAAAAGCACTAAAAGGAGCTTAAAAGTACCACAAACAACTACAGATGACCCTTTCCTAAATAGGGGTTCTTTTTACCTCCATCTCAACCTTTTTCCTTTTCTCTCTCCCTGTCTCCTACACTCTCTTTTGCTAACATCGATGTTTTTCTGACTATCCCCCACCTTTGTCTCTCTACCAGTCTCCTCGCTTTTCTTCCTAAAGCTTTCTTGCCATTTTCACCTCTTCCTGCCTCTTTGCCTTCCTGGTCTCCTCACTTTCCATCTCCTCTCTCTTCTCCTATTTCTGTCCATTTCATTCTATTCACATCCTCCGTCTCTCTCTCACACTCTCATTTCCTAACCAGCCACTTCCTCTAATCTGCTTCTTCTTCAAGACCTCTTTATTCATATTTTCTCAGAGTAAATGAGCATCTCTTTCTATCTCTGAGCACCAGTAACCACACAGTGACTGGACTTGTTGAAGCACAAGAATGCATTTATTCATGCCTGTCCATGCAGGCAGGTTGAATCAAAGATGCTGCTTTATCACACCCAAGAATGGCCTCTCCACTACACAGTACTGTAGCAATACAATTCTAAGTGCACGTTTTTTTCTGATAAATTGAGAGCTTCACACGAGTCTTCCTGCATTTCCAAACTTCCAAGCCTGCAACACTACATGAATTTCATCTTTCAGAAAGCCAAAAATAATCACACTTAGGCCCTGAACTGGTTAAATTCGCTCTCTTTTTTCTGTGAAGTTGAGTATCTTTGGTATAAGACCCTTTGTGTTGCCATGTTCCTTGTAAGTAAACATTTCACAAATAAAATCGATGCCTACTGAACTAACATCTTATTTTCTCATTTGTTTTCTTTTATTTTTTCAAAGAAAAACATCTATAATTCCATGACAACTGGGCAAAGTCTATGTGCTGATGAACATTATTGTTAACATTATTATTAAGTTCTATAACCAAATGCTCCAGAAAAATCAGTGGTTGAATGCACTGTACCTTGGCATTATATAATTAGCGTGAATAAAAATAATCATGATAGATTTAAACATATAAACTGGAATATAGGACACAAAATCAACGTCACTGTCACGGAAATTGTTTTAAAGCCAATTTATCACAGTTTTTAAAAGCGTTTCAAAGTACTCAGCTCCCTTACTTAAGTAAAAGTAGCAATCCCACAGTCTAAAAATACTTTGTTACAAGTAAAGATCATGTATTCAAAATGTTACTTAGGTAAAATTACAAAGTATTAGCATTAAAACATATTTTTGGTACTAAAAATAAAACTGCTCATTATGCAGAATGGCCCATTTCACATTAATGCATATCATATTATTGAATTATAATTGCTAATGCATTATTGTGTACATCACATTTTATGTTGAAACCAGTAAAGGGGAGTTGGTTTTTAAAGGGGAGTTATACTTTACATACTGCTGTGTAGCTTGTGATTTTTCCACCAGAGACCAATAAAGTCTACTGTAATTTTTGTATTAATCTGGTTCTGAGTGAATGTACTTAGTTACTTTCCACTGCTGCATTAAACTACCTGCCCTACTGTATTACTACTCTCTTGCACTAGTGAAAACAATATCAAACAATATTTATCCACACTTTGACAAAGGTCTCCATCTCATGTTATAAAGAGATCGCACTTGATATTATTATGTAAACGACAAAAGAAGATCAACCAAGCAAAACAGGGATGTCTCCCAGGGAAAACCGCTACTGTCTTCCACCCCGTGCTGTTCTGCAGGGAATCATGTTAGCTCATTATGCTGTGCTAAATATTTCTACCATGTCTCAATCGTCAGAGACAGCACTGCCTCGGGTATTGAGACAGTTTTAACTTCAGTGTCTAATAACCAAGCAAATGCTCTGTCAGCATGATTTTGTAATGTCAGCCAGGACATTTTTGTACAGTCCTTCGTGGTGAGGGCGTTCAGGACACTAGCTGGCCTGTTAAAATAAAATACAGCAAGTGATTCCAACAAACTGTTTCTACCCTCAGCTTGTTTTACTGTTTCTCTGTGATGACCTGGGAATTATAAGTTTCTATTGACTGTTTTGGTTAGAGAGGCTTCACAAGCAGGTCTAACATTCCCAGGGAATATCAGCCCGCTCGCTTCATCTGAAGTGGAGTGCTGCACCAAAAGCCCACACCTCTGGTTCTCCAAACAGGTTAAAACAAATGTTCAGACTTGTTTTCAACTATAACAGAATCAAGATCTGATCTGAACTAGTAGCACAGATGGATGATCTCAAGGAGGAAACCTTTTGTGAAGACTCACCGCTACCAGCCTTTGTAATGGCCCTGGGCATGTTTCCATTGGACAGTTCCCTATAGGGGACCTGCAGCATGGTGTCAAGACTGCTGAAACCCTCCTTCAGAGAGTGCTGCTTGTAGTACTCCACTAAGTCCTGTGTGAAACAAATAAATATAACAAAATATAACATCCTTTAAGACAGGGTACATCTGGATGGTATTGCATACAAATATGTATGTAGGTATGAAAGAAAAGTGGGAAGGCTAAGTTAAGGAGAGCTGCTTGTTTGAGCTTGGCAATACAACAACAGCCAGTACTGAGCAACTGTTCCTGAGCACAACAGGTGCAAATGCATAGCTTTCCACTGGTCCGTTTCAAGTATAAGCACTGGAAAGAGTATAAAACAAAAGTAAAATTTTTACTTGCATGCTACAGCTACAGAGGTTAATAGGGCACAAAGATTCATACAAAGTCGAAATCTTTACCAGCACAGTCTTGAACAGCCGACTTTCAGCGATGTAAAAGAAGCCATCCTTGGTCAGAATCTTGATGTGCTTGACTTTATCTTTGAACCTGTGGAGGATGAATAAGACATGGGCTGCTAATCAACTATACATGCTTCAACATCAGTCCAGTCTCTATGGTGAACCATCACGAAGGTCTGTCTGCGCTGACTGTCGGTTGCCATGCTGAGTTAAGCTACCAGGTTTGACACTGGGTTTTTCCCTATGGAAATCAGATCCAATTCACATCAGATAATAAAAAGTAGCATCATAGGATGACCCAGTGTCTGGCTTGTCAACAATAAAATTAAGCAATGTCCACACTATGTATGACTGTTCATCACAAGTATTGCCTGTGGATATGAGTTGTGAGCCGTTACACCAAACAGTACTTTTCATTATTAGACTGTTTCATTTGAAATATTTTTCATGTTTTAAGAGCTTAACGCAGCTTGTATTTAACAAGAAAAGCAAGAAATCACAGAAAAGTAAAAATAATACATAGATTGTGTAACTTTTTCCTTTTTAATCATCTGGTGACACCCAGTTCTTAAACATTTCTGTATATTCTTGTGAAGGAAAAAAAGATCCATCCTTTGTAAGTATAATGTTTTTTGTATTGTAACCTGCCATTCAACTACAGCTGTGTCATGTCACAATGCCTGCTGTGAAAAAGACCCAAAAAATTAAGCAGATGTAGTATATACCAGTGTTGGAGTCAAATCACTGAACATCAATGTTCGGGTCAAGTCCAAGTCCCTGTTACCTGAGTCAGAGGCATCAAGGTCTCCATTAAACACAATCGACATAGCTTTCGACATTTTATATTCCAAACTTTCTAACAGTGTATTGCATCACCATATTGCTTGGCACTTTGATACATAAAAATAATTTATAGAAAGGTGGAGGGGACACTTCAGTAGAAGTGGTGCAGGTGAACAGGTTTTAATATCAATATCTTATGCTAAATTATTATGGCCATTACTAAAAAAAAAGTCTCCAACTTCTGAGTTTGAATACAGTCAGTGCTCGGGTCAGAGTCCAAGTCAAGTCATAAGTCCTGAAAATCAGGGCTTGAGTCTGACTCAAGTCAGAGTCATGGACTCAAGTGCTACAACAGTGATATTCACTTATTCAGTGTGAAAACACTGTATATTCAAAACCACATATGATTTTGAAATTAGACTTTTTTTAGGTTAATTTTTTTCCAAGCATCTGTATGTACCCTGGAATTCAGTGTGCTCACTTAACCTAAGTCAGAAAAACATATCACAACTGACTCAGACTCAGTGTGTGCTATAGGCCTGTTTAAATAACTGAGTGATCAGATAGCTTAAATGCTTTGCTGAGTCCTGGAAATACATACACACTGTTCAGTATATACATACTGTACACACAAATGATGTGTTCTCAAACCAATTGTAAGCATAGTACTGTATATTACATGGATCCCATATGGTGAAGTTACACTGGAGATAGAGCCTAATCGTAAATCTCCCAATGCAGTATATAATGGACAAGAAGAATATGGCCATGTTGCATATTCACTGATATACTATATAACTGATGTCTGTTTAGCTGTATTGTGTTTAACACATGGAGACCAATGAGTCCTGTTTGCTGAAGGCTGAGTATCTCATTCCTCCTATAGGCTCATCCACACAAACACGTAAACACATACAAACTGACCACTTCTCCTCAGACAGTTCCAGCTGATTACTTGGAGCTCTCAGTATAAAACTCCATTATCTCAAACAGCCATCGTGATAATGATCTTAAGCTATGACACAGGTAATTAGGATCTGTGTGTTCAGAAACTGGTCCTGTATATCAGAGCTTTGAGTCAGGGATGTATAAGTCCACCAAACCAAATGGGCTGAAATGGTGTGTCACGGGCTAAATAGCCCTAACATCCAAACATTATTTCAGAGTGCAACCTCAATCGTTATAATATCTTGGAGCCATCATACCATGTCAGAAGGACTCACTAGTGCTTTCTTTTAAAAAAAAAGACTGAGCATGCTTTGATGTAGCTATATTCACTAGTTAAATGAAGTGTTGTATTTCAAAAGCGGGATATAGAGGCACTCAGCTTGCAGATAAAGCAGACATTTATTGAGGCCTAAAGTAATGGATGTTTTATCTACGATTCAAGTGTGTTGCTAGCCTTCTCTTGAAATACATTACTAAGACTGATAGCCAAAGAGCAGCTAATAGTATGATGCAAAGCTGTCAGACGCTCCTTGAACGTACAGTATGTCTAAGTGGAGAACACAGACAGGTGAAATAGATCATCCAGATCCACCTCTTCCCCATTATTGAGTTGACCATCGGAGTAAACTAAAATGATTTTCAAGTGTTTACGATATGATATAAGGTTCAAATAAAGCCTGTGCCATTGACACAGGAAGTGTGGATAAGAGCTCCATCACTCAAAATATATTTTCTCATTTACCTCTATTGTCTAGCTGTGCAGAGAGCTTTGGTTTTCTTTTCCTAGGCTAAGGACTATTTATCCTTTCTACTTGTACTATTAGTGAATAGATCTCACTCTCAATAGTTTTCATAGAGAGTATTTTTTTCTACAAAAACTGTTCACAGCATGTTTAGGAATTATCCAGAATAAACAGTAAATGGAAATTATTCTGACCAGTTGTCTCACGTATAATGGTACAAGCATTAGGACACACAAATGTAACACGTGTGCTCCCTTTTCAGTTGCTTACCTACTTAAAAATACTATTCACATACACCCTGGGCTAAACTTAGCAAGAGCTGAGGTATGATGTTACCTGGTGTACTATCCCTCTCACAGTACAGCACACTGCTGGAGGTACTAATACTAAGTATAATGAGCAGCAATCATCCACATCAATATGACTTCAGGTTTATCCCACATATTGACCAAAGCCTGTGTTTTTAGCTAACATTATGGAAGACACCACACCCTGCTGCAAGCTTTGTATAATCATAACATCAGTCAAATCCACTGTGGAGCATAACCTCACTTGTTTTAAATATTGTGGGAAATAAACCAATACCTAAACTGTAATAAAACTGTAATAACTTCATTAGTACACTTCTTTTCCTGACTCACTGTAGTATGCCTTCATTAAACTAATCCAAATGCCATTTCTCAAACTAAATCTATGGCTAAGGTCTATCCCTGAGTCCATTAGAGAGTCAGATAGACAAAAAAAATTACTTCAGAAGGAAATATTCGATTTTGACCCTTAAAGCGACAAGATTCTCAGGGCTTAATGAATCTATTGATTTTACTCAGATTTTGTAGATATCGTGTAAAGGTTGTGTTTTGTTGTGGGAGAGGTGGTTGATATAGACTAGAGCCTCTGAACTTTAATTTAAAATCATTTTTGAAGCAGAGCACTTTTGATTTCCTTTCTTTACATTTAATTGTAAAGCCACATAGGCAACCTGTATTGGATGTCTCCCCATTGATCTCCTGTGTAATTTCTGCAGCCTTCCCTCCTCTCAGCTTCTATCCACAGCTGTACCTCACTTGTGCTACTTAAGTGTGTGTGTTTGTATTTTATCTTAACATCCCAACGAAGGCTTTTAGAGAAATGTTTGTGTCATCTAGTGTATATAATATTAAGGGCTTTTAATTATACCGAGGCCTCAGAGTTCCTTGGATGCTTTCTCTTGTTTCTCTTGTTGCAGTCGTGAGCCTTGACCTCGAAGAGCACCGAGAAACACCTTCACTCTTCATTTATAAAGCTTCTTCATTATCCTTCCTTCAATAGGTCTATGGTTAATTTTTAAAAATATGGAAATCATAACACCCTTTGGTCTCCAAATTTCCTTCCTTCTATAGTTTTCTCCCGCACTACAATGTTTTAAATTGGATGTAGATAACCATACATCTTAATAAGTATGATGAAATGAAAGTCTGGTTCTGGTACTTTAACTATTTGTGCAGTTTCTTTACACAGTGTCTGGCATAGCGGAAATTTTCTTTAATGTGGAATTAGCTACCTCAGCAGCCAGTATTAATGTACTCAAAAGCTAGGAGAACTGGGAATAGTGTGTTTTCTGCTCACCAGTATAGCACCTGTTAGAGACTTAGATGACTTTTTATGGAAGCAGAAATCTCTGAGACAGATGTCTTAAAACCTGGAAACTATCTGCATGGTTTGATATAGAGTAAGTGAGAAATTATGTTCTTGTTTGTTGTTTTGCTTTGGGCGAACCAACCCTTCAAAATAATTCCCCCGCCATCTGCACGACTATTATCAACTATGATTCATCAAATCAGGCAAACTTTGTCAATTCTTCAGTTATAAATAGTTGATTCTAGAGTCACTGTAACTCCTTGTTCTTCCCCGACATGAGTGAAAAACAGCATGATCTCCTTCTGGTGTGGCCCATCAACATGTGATGAGCTGTTTTGTTTTCAGCTACTGCACCTTTGTTGTACTAAGCTGTTATTTGAATGTGGGCATTTTGTTTTGCTTGAATGATTCATGCTGCTCGCCTCTCACTTCTCACAATAAGGTGTTTTTTGCCCACAGTACTGCTGCTGACTGCTATGTGTTTTGTTTATTCTGCTATTCTTAGTAAACCCATGTGAGACTGTAAGAAGTTGAATACAGAAATAAATGGAAAATAAACAATCATATCACTTACTTTATACTGATGGCATATTCAGAGGATTCTTTACTCCTGTGTCGAACCAGGTAGGTGCCGTTTTCTTGGTCCAGGAGCTCCACTCCAGCCTGGTATCTCTCCATAGGTCCTGCATACCTGAACCACCCATAAACAAATACTGCCCTTTACATGGCCATCAATCATTCTGAACATGTTGATGAGAACGCTCAAAATAATCAAACCATAATGTAAACATGAGAATAAGAAAGGGGTGATAGTTAGCAAGCTTCAGTCATTGGTTTTCATCGCTTACCAGAGCTGGGCAGAGTAATCAACAGGCTTTGGTACCTAGTGTAGAAAGAATTGTGGTTATTTAGTGTTTAAATGGAGTCAATACAGAGGGGTGCAGGTCATTTGTAGTAATGTGATAGTCAAGCCACATCTAATGGCTAAAATCAGTCTTCCACAGCAAAAAAACTGCAATTGAATAGCACCACATTCCAGCGCTAAGACATCAATAGTAAGCATTAGCCACTGAATGCATTGTAATCACACTGAATATGTCTTATTGATTACTTACACACGGGCAAGGCCTCACAGCATCACTTGGAAAGAAGCCAATCTTGCTTGTCGCCAGAATTTTGCCCTGCAATGGCAACTGGCTGTTAATCGCATTATATTTGTCTGGGAGCAACTACAACCCCCCCACCCCCCTCTCTTTTCTTCTCCTCTTCCCCTCCCACACTGGCTTCAATAAATCCTCAGCAATTAGCACACAACAAGCAGTGCATCTAATTTGCAGCCCAAGTTAATTATGGTTCAAACTCTGCCGGCAGTTAGATTTGTACTGCATCAAAACAAGAGCCTCGTTTAACACTAAATAATGGATCTTATTCTGGTCTTTGAATATCCAAACAGCGTGAGCTCCCTGGCTTGTACTAAAAACTAACAATTGCATTCTAGCTAAACCGCCTCAAGCATATACAAGCTATATATGAAAATCATTAATTCCTTCAACAAACATTGTGTAGAAAGACTTTGTTCCTCCAGCTAAATAAACCCAATTTGGTAAAACAAAACTCTTAATTTTTCTATAGATTTGCTCCTACATACATTTTATAACATTAATTCTCTGTTATGTACATTATCTTGTAGACAGTAGTGGACATGTATATCAACATAAAGTTAAGATATTTTAAGTGGTCAATTTGAAGTCCATTGTGTCAGTGCAGTGAGTGCTGAGGGCATATGGAGCTCTTCATTCAGCTTCCTGCCCTGTTTATGCTTTCTTCCTCACTGTTCTTATTAGAGTATGAAATGCTTTTTGGGACCGTGCAAGGCCTGGCAGTAACTAGATTGGAAAGCGAATCTTTACCCATTTCTATGATTCATTCTGTGTAATAACATTTCATCAAAGGTTTTTTGAAAGCCCCTCTCTATTTGTTATGCCTTCGATAAGCGTATGATAAAGATTAAACTTATTACTCTGTTAGCATAAACAGGCAGCAGCCAAAGGATCAAATGAAATTACAGTGATTGATTGTATTGTTCTGCCAGTGGGATGGGGGATAATTGCCTTCTGGGTAACAGGGGATATGAATTCTCAATGTTCTGTAATTCCATCCTCTGGCGCCACTGGGGAAGCTGAAGATTAAAGGTACCCTGTGAAGCTTTTCATTTTAAATTTGTTGTATAGCTGTGGAACTTTTGTTTAGATTCAGTGCTTCTCACCAAAACGCACTGTGTGTGACCACAAGACCTAACAAACTTGTGGAAAACAGTTGCAAAGCCTTTCTTTGTATGCTTTGAAATGTGGTGGTTTAGAGCCCATATGCAGGTGTTAGTTTTTCATTAACACCGTTGTCCAATAGCCATCCACACATGACGTGACTATAATTGCACTGCCCTACAAAGCCATTTGACTTTTTGTTGTTTGTTAATGTGTTAGTAGTTACGTCCAATCTTGAGGGAGAAAAACAACAGCTAAAAGATAAGCTGAGTGTCAGTGACTGCCATCTCAGATTTTGACTCTAGGAGAATTCATTTGATTTGGTGTGGTTAAGCTACCTTTAAATCACTTATTTAAAGATACTCTATTGAATTTCATTTCAGCTGCTAGAGGGTCTAGTGAGACTCAATAAACCACTTCTTCCCACTCTTTGCCCCTCCCATCCTGTTTCTTGAAGCCACGACATGAACTACTGATGCCGGGTTTGCAGCAATCTGGTTTGCAGCCTCCAGCCAAAGCCAGCGTCAGCTGACTGAAGAGTCCTGGGTCTATGGCAGCACTGACACAGCACAATGTCAAGTGGCGAGGCTGACAATTTGGCCAATTTTGACAATGTGGCCTGACTTGTAGCTGCTGGGATCTTCTCTATGCCATGATACTTAAAACCTTCATCAGGTGGCAGGCAGGGCTAATTTACAGACCGTACTTTGACAACACAGGGCAGAGAAGCTGGAGTAACAGCAGAAGGACTGTAGGTAGCAGTGTCATGGAGGGGGTAAGACAGCACAGAGTGGATTAAGGAGAGTGACAAAATCTCCAGTGATGATATAAGGACCTGTTTTTTTAAGTAATGGCAGATCATGGGAACAACGAATAGTTCATTAGGAGCAGCACCCTAAAAATACATTGACTTGGCTTCTGTTTTCTGAATAATGAAGTTAAAATCAGTTGTAATAATTATACTTGTGACATTTTAAATTAGTGACATATCTAAATATTTATACACATTTTACAAACTTTCCATCTTTCTCAAATATTAGGTCAATATAATAGATTAGTTACCTAGCTAACTAGCTAAACTATCTGAACTATCTACAACAGAAGAACACAGAATTAGTTTGCACGGCTGTTCCCTACAGAAAACAATGGATCTGAATTACTTTTTGGAACTATTTGAAGTCACACGACCCACTACAGATTTTGACCCCTCAGTGTCGCAACTCATCTATATTTTGGGCTCTGGTATAGCATCCTGTCCCATTTCTACTCGACTGATCAGTTAATGTGTAAAATCATAGTTACTGTAGTTAATGCACCTTTAAGTTTGTCAAATTTATTTGCAGATGGGAGACATTAATTCTTATCAATCTATAAATGTATATAAATGACAAAAACAAATTTTAACAACTTTAAATGGACAGGAAAACTTAAAATATACATTTGTATATACAAATGTTTCCCCTTTGTATTCCTTCAAAACTAGGCAATGGTCCTGGGCAGTATCTGCCATTTCTCACCCTTTTTGTTTTTTGGGTTCTATAGCAATGATTAGACTGAAAACTTATCCCTTTTCTCAAATTCACTGCTCCTGTAGTCACTGCTGTCTGTCCTCATAGATGCACTGACAGAAAATTTAACACTAGCTGTAGTCACTGCTGTCTGTCCTCATAGGTGCACGGACAGAAAATGTAACACTAACATTAATCTGCTGATCAAAACATTGCTCTACAGCACCATTAGTGGTCAGAACGTCTACACAACAGCTTCAAGTAGTCTAATTACATTATCAGTATGCACTGGACAGAAATAAACACAAATGTCTATTATCATTCAATTCATATGATTATCCCCTTCCAGCACACACACAGTAACCATGGCAGCAAACAATGGGCTGCCATAAAGGCTCCAGCATGACATTCTGCTAGCCATTCTACCGGCTTACAAGAAGTCTCCTGGCATTCATGTCCTCACCCTCCACCTTGTGCTCTGTCACAACACAGGGAAACATGGAACATAGGAAATCAGGCTAAACGCCTACTTCCAGCTGTGCAATTGGCATGGAGTGCAGTCTGATTAGAACAGCACCAGAAGGAGGATGAGGCTTTAATGCCGCTGTAAAGCAGAGTGAGAAACAGCTAGGGAGGCTGCCAGAAGACCCCAGATAAATCACCATCCTTTCAAAAATAGATAAGGTCAAATGCTCTCAAACATTGGCTGACCTCTTGAGGTGGTTGCCAAATGTGCCTGTACACGAGGTTGTACACCACCATTAAAACATCCTCCAGAGGCTGAACTGTCTTCTGTTTTATTGCCTCACTGTGGCATTCAATTAATCAACTGAATCCACTAATTGGTTAGATCATCTGATGTAGGCTGTGATTCAATCTGAGCAGTGAAAGAAACCATTTGTAAAGTACCAAAGGTTCAGTAGAGTTCGTGCAGATCTTTGTCTCATATTTCTAATTGCGGCTGACTTCATCATAATGTCATATTTACGGCTCACCTGACAAGACACAGGATGTGATAAACAACCAGAATTCAGTTAGTGATTTATAAACAATAATGGCCAGAGGGAGATAAACTGTTGATGTCACACCATTAATACTCTTATTTTGCATTTATTCCTGTGTCATCTGGGAAATCCAGCATTAGTGTGATGCGATGACATGCAGCAATTCAAACCCAAACCCATGACACTGCAAAGACACTACATGCAGCAAGCCAACCGTAACATGTTATTTTTTTCAGAGAGTCACAGATGTTGAGATAAAACGAGGCAGAGCTGAGTGACACGCACCTGCCACCAGGAGCTGCGCAGGTCGGCGAACATCAGTTCAATGACATCCCCCACATGAATGCTTAGTGGGGGCCCACAGTGGGGACTGGGGATGCCACTGTAGTCCCTAATCACAACCATCCTGGGTAAAACTAGAAGACAGGGAACACAAACACATTAATAGTCAAGTTTTAGACGTTTATCTAAGAGTCTTGTACACATTGCAACAACATTAATACTTTACGTAGCCTTATCAGTTCATCATCAGTTCTGGGTAAAAGATAAAAAATACTGCAATCATGTGTGGCAGAGAGCAAACGACAGATGAGATCTAGGAAATATTATGTTGCTCAGACTATGACTAATATGGAAAGCACAAATGTTACACTGGATCTTAAAACATTTGATCAATACAAAACATTTTCCATTCAGTGAAGTCTAGACATTGTCTCTTTACACCATAGCAGCAAGGGCAGAAATTAAACCACTGGAGGTCACCAAAGACAAGATGTATGGCTGCTCTTGAAACTTATTAATAAAGGTAACTGAGAAAATATGTAGTTTTGCAACTGTTTTGGGGGGGGTTGGACCTGTCATTTAGTAATTAGTAATATAATTTGCAATCATGTGCACTATGCACATCCTTTTATTTTATTATTCTAAACGATTCCGTAGAATTCATCTTCTACCTCTACATAAATGTGAAAGTCTTTTTGATTGAGCTCTAAACCAACAAAATGGCACAAGCCTAAAAAATCAGCAGTCTGCTCTCACAGGAAATTCATCTTTTTGATTCCTGAACGGCACAGCTCCGATCGCTCCTCGGTGTGGCAGACAAATACAGCCACAAGCATCCAGCTAAAGCTAAGACTAAACACCCCTGCCAACATAAAAGACACAGCCACTTACTCTCCACTGACTCACACATCTAGCCCCCTCAGACATCTCCCTTTCAGCTATGGCCCCCCTGCAAACCGGCTCGAGGAAACTATTAGCTGACGGTGACCTCAGATGAGTGGAATATCTCACATTCCTGTTTTTAATAAGAACAATAAGCACAGCCGTCTTTCTCACAAAGTCCCTTATGGAAATTGATTTATCACAAAGGCTACAGCTCAGCGGTTGAGGCCGAGGCATATAGACTGCTGGAAGTGCTTTTCTGCCGGCATTTCTCCTGCTGTGGTTCTCATAATGATTCTACCCACTCCAATACATCTTCAATGCAGTCTAGGGTTTAGGCATCTCAGCTTGTGGCGAGAAAAGGGCTTTTTTTGTGCCTTGGTTAAGGATTCCTTCTGCACCCCACTATTCATTGATTATTCTTACTCAAATATATTTGTCAAAAGTAAAGTGTTGTTGGTCATTACCTCCTTTGAACTCTGTGTGCGAGCAGGAGAGACTGAGACTTCTTCAAGGCTTTTGTGGCAAGAAAGAGTTGAATAATATCTGATCAGAAACGTGAGAGGGGTATGATAACATCGTAGGGTTAGCTCTAAACCGCCATCTATCAGCTCCAGGTCTCACTCTGGCCTCTGACTAATCGTCTCCTTTTCATCCTGTCTGTGTTTCTGTTTTGCTACTGAACCAAGATGAAAGCAGCTTAAGAGGAACCACGTAAAGCCCTTAGCAGGTTCACAAAAGTGGTCAAGTGGTCAAGGCATACTGACCTGGATCTGGTGGTGCTGTGCTTTCCTGTGGATACAGGGAGAAAGCAAGAAGCAAGGCAGAGAAAAAAGCATGAAAACAAGAAAGGGAGAAAGAAATGGGGATAAAGGAAAGGACAGTTAAATATAGAGAGGTCAATCTTACTCCCTGTGCTGGATCAGCCTGACCTGAGAAATGAGTCACACTCTTAATACAAATGTCTGTGAGAGTTATACTCTTTAGATGTGTGGTCTAACTATTTTAAAAGTGAAAGACAGAAATTGAGAGTTCAACAAAGCAAAATCTTAAAGAAAATATATAAGATATAGACTATATAAATACTTCATATTATCATTCTGACCACAACACACCAGGGTATCATATAGTGTTCATTATCTTTCGATAAGCTGTCACAAAATACAGAAACAGGAATGTCTGCAGAGCAAATCCGAATTACTTACATTTGTTGCAAAGACAAATTTTGTCCATCCAGGATTTCAAACATAAAATGCTGATCATTTTCTACACACAAGTGACTTACAGTATGAGAAGCAACGGGTATGCTCCCAGAATCAAAATATATAACATTTTAAATTATAATTAATCCAGTTTTATATGATTTATGTTCACTCACTGATTTAATTTAAAGACAAGTAGCCAGTGTGGCATTTAAATATTCAGTAAAGCCAAAACACAGAGCAGCATCAGGAGCTCTGATTGGCCAGCTGTTATGTGTTGACAGGCATCTGACCAATCAGAGCTCCTGCTCCTGTTCGGTGGGGTGGACTTCATCAAATGTTTAGGGTAGCTTACATGTCCTTAAAATAAATAGAGGTTCTCTTCAATTTAAAACAACCACAATATAAAACCCCAAATCAGATGAGCTTTTATTTTCTGATTTGGGGTTTTATAAACTATAAATGTTAAAGTAGGAGACAAACTAATTGATGGTATATGATGGGCATATTCAATAGGCCTATTAACAAAAGGTTTTAGATTATTTTAATTATGTATTTACTGTTTACTGTATCATTTAAATCCAAATTTAACAGTGTTTAACACCTATAAAACTATTAACTGATATTTTGGCTTCAGCAAGTATCCAGATTCCTTTTTGCACACTTTGTGTTGCAGATTTAATTTGAATATGATAACCTTTTTTTTAATCCATCAATGTACACTCAATAACACATAATGAATCTGAATCAGAATTTATTGGCCAACTTTGCTGAACACACAAGGAATTTGACTTCGTTACAGTGGCTCTCAGTTTGCATGTACATGTAAGACAATGAGTAAACAAGATATGTCTGAAAAAACAAGAAAAGGAAAATACTGTGCAAACAAGACAAAGGAATGTGCATTAGATATATACAAAGGTTTTGCACTGAGGGTTGTCATTCTGTTATACAATCATAGGTTAAGTGTTCATCAGAGTGATGGCACGGGGGAAGAAACTGTCCTCGTGTCTGGTTGTTCTGGCCTACAGTGACCTGTAGTGCCGACCAGAGGGGAGGAGTTCAAACAGTTTGTTTCCAGGGTGTGATGGGTCTGCAGAAATCTTCTCTGCCCTCCTTTTGACCCAGAGGGGTACAGGTCTTCCACGGAGGGCAGGCTGGCACCGATGACTCTTTCTGCAGTCTTAACTGTCCACTGGAGTCTGTTCCTGTCCTGTTTGGTTGCTGAACCAAACCAGATAGTGAATGGGTGAGCAGAGAACAGACTTGATGATTCCTCTGTAGAACTGTATCAGCAACTCCCGGGGCAGGTCGAACTTACTGAGCTGGCGCAGGAAGTACATCCTCTGCTGTGCCTTCCTGGTGATGGTGCTGATGTTGGACGTCCACTTCAGGTCCTGTGAGACAGTGGAGCCCAGGAACTTGAAGGACTCTACTGCTTATACAGTGCTGCTGAGTTTGGTGAGGGGAAGTATGGTTAAGGGGATTCTCCTGAAGTCCACTGTCATCTCCATTGTTTTGAGCATATACAACTGCAGGTTGTTACAACCGCACTGCAGGACCAGCTATTCAACCTCCCGTCTGTAGGCCGACTTGTCACCGTCTCAGATGAGACCAATGACTGCTGTGTCAACCGTGAACTGCAGGACTTTAACAGAGATGCGGTCATTGGTGTAGAGGGAGAACAGCAGCGGGGAGGGCACACATCCCTTGGGGGCGTCTGTGCTGACTGTCCAGGTGCTGAATGTAATTTTCCCCAGCCTCACCTGCTCAAAATGACTAATGACCAGGTTTAAATGCATTTTTTTGACATTTTTGCATGTAGTGCTTGGCGTTCTGCCCAAAAAGCTAATTTTTATTTTTTTTTTAAATCTCATCTAAGTACAGTATTGTGTTCCTTTAAATGCTGTTTGGCACACTACAAGCGGGCTGTCATATGTCTTTTAATCAAAGTGGCTTCTATCTAGTTGCTCTGCCATAAAGGCCTGATTGATGGAGAGCTACTGAGATGGTCATCCTTCTGGCAGGTTCTCCCATCTCTGGAGAGGACTTTGCTCTGTTAGAGTGATCATTGGGTTCTTGGTCGCCTCCCTGGTGGTTCCAACCTTCTTCCATTTCACAATTATTGAGGTCGCTGTGCTCCTGGGAACACTCAGAGCTTTAGAAATATTTTTTTTTACCCTGTGCCTCACCACAGTTTTATTGCAGAGGTCTACAGAGAGTTCTTTGAACTTCATGTCTTCGTTTCTGTTTGACATGCAGTGTGAATTGTGGGACCTTATATACACAGGTGTGTGTGTCTTTCTGAATCAAGTCCAGTCAATTCAATTTGCCACAAATGAACTCCAATCAACTTCTAGACACATCTCAAGGATAATTAAAGCAAAGGGTGGGGGATGTGCCCCACTACAACCTGGAGAGCCACAGCAAAAGGTCTGTGATATCAGTTTTGGACTTTTAAGACATATGTAAAAATGTCTAAAACATGCTCTGATTATTATGGGTTACTGAGTCTAGATTGATTGGCAAAGTGGCTAATTAATTTTTTTAAATTAAATCTATAACACAGTAAAGTGTGCATGAAGTTAAAAGGTCTGTATACTCTCAGAAGAGATATTGTCACTAAGATGAGGAACTATTGAAAAATACTTACAAACATGAATTTTGAGCGGTAACAATAAAACCAGTAGTTTCTTAGACTGCCAATCTCTATAAGTTCAAACTGTTCACCTACATGATAATGGCATGTTAAAAAGAATGCTTTAATTGCTGTGAATGACAACATTTTTCATCTATTCTTTTCCCATAATTGTGAGTGCATGTGTGCTCTATGTGCACACATGTAGACGTATATTATCTTATCTGCTGTGCTATGCTTCAATAATTATGTTAACTTTGGTGTCGAAGTCAAAGGAGAGAAACAGTCTAGGTCCTACCTTAGGCCTCGTCTTGGCAGAATCTGCGATGAGGTGAGAAACGGACACAGTGAGAGGAATGCAATGTGAATAGTGTGGTGGCATCCTGACATGCAACCTCAACTGTCAACCTTGGCTGGCCCTCATCGCGCCTCAGAATGCATAAAAACCACAGCGCTTCTGCTAAGAAGGCTTGTCAAGGGCCGGTGCTGACTTTAGCTGTTTGTGTATTCAAGGAAGGTAATGTACCTGAACTACAGCACCAGACCGGCGACAAAGAGCTAAAGCTTGACACAAGTGATAGAGTAAAAAAATGCTACAACTGTACAACTATATGACATAGTTTAGCTTACAATTTAACAGCTGCCACAAGTTTAGAAGTAAAAGCATAAATTATGTTTACAATAATTTTTCATTTTTTAGACAAACTTTAGATTTCTTACACAGGGAAATAAAGGTATGTACAACTACAAATTTGAGCCTGATGGCAAGGGAAGGGAAGGTCAAGGGCTCTCTACATTGAGGTAGATTCATTTTTGGGGGTGGGCGCATAAATATTTACAACAAATTAAACAGCATACAAGACGATATGTACAAGGCTGGCAATCTGGCATGAGGGTGGTGGAAGAGCAGAGATTATGGAGTGCTCATGATGTAAATACATACTCCTCTATGGAGCATGAATGTACTCAGTAAATTTCATAGCCATCTCCCTTTTAGATTTTGATATGTTGCGTGAATAAATGAAAATATTACCCTGGTGGTGGTGCTAGCTTAAAGGTCACCAAAAATTTTGTTTTATTCTCCAAAGAGGGTGTACAGAGTGAATATGATGGAAATTAAGTAATTAATTTTCAAGAAATGGGCCAAAAGCAATGAACCAAAAAAAAAGAGCAACAGAATCTGTTTTTGAGGCCTCCGTCTTACCTGTTTTCCCACAAACTTCCAGTCGGCCCAGACACTCTTTATGAGCCCCCAGGCCACATTTTAGACAGTGATAACCCTGGTTAAAGACGCCTCTGGAGACAATAAGACACAGGATATATTTCATGTGTAACAGCCTCCTTAAGAGAAATGTCTTGACATTTTGAATTTTCAGACTTCTGTCACACTCTCAAGATAAGAAAAATGACACTGGATATGTCCTTCAGCTTTCCAAACCACAAAACCGATACTGTCTGTTGGAAACTGAGACAGCTAACAGTGTATATTCCCTTTTTTATAGTACTTCAGTTAAACCCAGTGCTAATAAACCTTTTCCACTTAAGCAAAGCTAAATAAAAAAAAAAGGAAAACAATCTCTAAAGTGCCTGAGGAAAACTGAAGATTTGAATGTAAAATGTCAGAGTGTTCCTTTCATACCTTCCCAATATGAAAAAAGATCTGAACATTTTCATATCAGAGTAATAACACAATATGATTTCCTAGAACAATAAGTGAACCTACATTTCATCTTCACCCTGTCTCAGACTTGGAATTGAGAGTACACCAATGCAACATCTTTACTCTGTTAGGATTTCATCCATTCTACATAATTATCCAAAACAGAAAGGTTTTCTTCATAAAGTCATACCTGAGTAAGAGGTGGCAGTAGCTACAAGAAGTGATCCCTTCAAATGTGTGCATCTTGAACTGGTGAGAGTTGTGACTGGCTTTTTCTGGTCGAATATTTGATCTGTGACATAGAATAAGAAAAAAAAATGGTTAAATGTCTTGCTAGCAGTTCTATTAGGTTGTACTTAGGCTCAATGATGAGCTAAATGCTAATGTCGGCGTGAAACAGTAACATGCTGATGTTTAGGTATAATGTTTATCATGGCCACCATTTTTGTTTAGCAAAATGCTAATATTGGCTAATTAATACTAAATATAAGGTACAGCTGAGGCTGTACTTTGGGAATGTAATTAGTTAAAATACTGTCCAAACAGGGGATTCTAGAAGCCAAATGGTTGGGACACCAGCCACTTGTCTGCAA